TGTTAGAGGCTGAGTCGACCCCAGGGCCATAGTGCGGCCGGAAGGATTAGGTCAATTGAAAAAATCCAGTGACCTCATCGGGACTTGAACCAGCGACCTTCCGGCTTGTAGCATAGTGCTTCAACGACTACGCTACCGCGTGCCCATAAGTTACAAGTGGATATAGAACTTAAACAAATAAGAGTACTGATTTGAAAAATGCTTTTATTTCTCAACATAATCTCCCTGTACATTGAGGCACTTGTCCCATCGTTTCACAAGCCCCTGAAAACCAGCAGCATAAAATTCTTTGGGTTGATGTCGGAACCGGGCGTGTTCACACGGCATGGCCTACCTCAAAATGCATGACAGGTTAGATTTTCACAAAGTCTGTTCACAATGGGTGTTGCACATGCTGACCCCACAACACAAAATGCAAAGAATGGGTCTGGCATTACAGCATCTCAATTGCTACCATCATGAAGGACACGATATGCTAGCCCTAATTGTCACAGGTGATGAGTCTTGCTCCAAGTGACTTCCATTTGTTCGGCCCTCTTAAACATCATCTTTCGGCTGAACATTTTCCCAAGGGAACATGGAAATATTTTAGTTTTTTATACAGCTGAAGAAAGCGCATGATTCCATTAGAAGGGAAGCGGTGTGCAACATATCAGAGTTTGGTACACCGACGAAGCTACTAAGGCCAGTTGAAATGTGTTTAAACGAAACCGTGTAGGTAAATATTTCTGTAACACTTCTCCTAGACTGAATGATCTGATACAAGGGAAAACTTTATTGCAAATACTTTTCAACTTTGCTTCAGAATACTCCATTAGAAAGGTCCAAGAAATCCAGGAAGGACGGAAATTGAGTGAGACACATCAGCTTCTGGTCTATGTCGATTATGTTCCATTCATTCATTCATTCTCCTTGGCCCTAGAGCCCTTTGTTTGTCCCTGGTCCCTTTTTCAGTTTCGTGATCAGTTCATGGTTTAGACTGCGCGGCCACACGGATCGGCGATGGCGTTTCTTTACTAGAGGAAAATAAATACCACAAAGAAAAAGAAAGCAGCTGCAATTGACGCTAGTACGGAGGTTTGTCTGGAAGTAAATAAGGAGAAACCAGGTATGTGTTGATGTCTCGTTAGAATGCAGGCAAATTCAGAACATGAAGATAGGCAAGAGATCCTTTGAAAATGTACAAATTTCGAACCTTTGGAAACGACAGTGACAAATCAAAATTTGGTTTGTGTGGAAATAAAGGAAAAATTAAATTCGGGCAGTGCTTGCTGAGAATCAGTTCAGAACATTTTGTCTTCTCCTCTGCTCTCTAAGAATGTAGAGATTGGAAGATACAAGACTCAAATTTGCCTCTACTTTTTATGGGTGTGAAAGCTGGTCTCTAACATTAACAGAAGAACATGGGCCGAGAATGTCTGAGGACAGTGTGCTAAGGAGAACACTTGGACATAAGGGTTGAGGTAAAGAAGGGCGGAGAAAAGGGCATAATGGAGAACTTCATAACCTGATATTATTAAATTAATGGGGTTAAGGGCGTTGTGATGGAAGGGGAATGCAGGATGCGTAGGTGGAAGACGAGAGGATGCAGAATTCTGGTAAGAAGACTTGAAGGACAGAGGATTATGCGTAGATGGAGGAAAAGTGTGAAAGCTGATCTCAGAGAAACACAGTGGTCGAGTATGGTCTGGGTAAGAAGGTAAAATTGTCTCTTTACTTAACTAATCAAGGACTACCCCATGAAGACCTGTAGGGGAGTGGATGTATAGACCCACGTTTTCTTGACCTCGGCACTAATTAAAGGTGAGTAGTCAGCTTCACGTTTCGGCTGCTTTACCCCAGGGGAAATAGTCCCCTGTACCCACTGGATAGGAGGCCGGGTGGGACCAAGATCCGGTTTAGACGACATGGAGACGTGAAAATTTTTGCCCCCACCGGAACTCGAATTCCGACCCCTTCGGGCGTTCAGCCCGTAGCTAGTCGCTATGCTGACTGCGCTGTTCCGGCTGTATGGTCTGAGTACGTCTGGCAAGAATGGGGTCAAGTGATGGTTTCTTGTGAATACGGCAATGAAACGTGGGATCCATAAAGTGCTGGTAATTTCTTGAGTAGCTGAATAGATTGCCTTTTGAAGGACTCAGTTATATGGGAGTAGCTACGTAGCTAGGCAACGGGAACGCTCAGTACTCCAGTATGGACTGGGGGGATTTCGTAACTGAAGGAATGAGTAATCTGTTCTCATCTTCAAGGTAGAAGTGAAGATGGAAGCAGCAGGTGCCTCGAATCCTTAGTAACCATTAACGCAACTACAGGGTACCGTAAGACAGCAAATTACAATCTTAATTTTCATCAACATGAAAAACTAAATTAAAATAGCTGATTATTTCTTTAGAAGATACTGCGTTTCCTGGCTCTGTCTACTCTAGTGGCATCTAGGTAAGAAACCGGAACCGGATACAGAAATTGTATTTACTTAGCGGTTTTCAGAAGGGAAGACTGCTTTTGTGGATATTTTGCAGACCGCCTCTGTGGTCTAGTGGTCAGAGTTCCTGGCTACAGTCCCAGAGGTTCCGGGTTAGATTCCCGGCTCTACCAGGTTTTCTGAGAAGTAGTGGATCTGGAACGGGGTCCACTCAGCCTCGTGAGGATAATTGAGGAGCTACTTGAAAGAAATAGCGGGTCCGGTCTACAAGACTGAGATTAATGGCTGTGAGGATCCGTTGCGCTGACCACGTGACACTCTCTATCCGCAAAAGTTGGCGCTAACTTCGCCGACAAGCGGCGCTCGCTCGGTCGGTATAGTTCTCTTGCGGACTACAGGTCACGGAGTTTGTTTGTGTAAGGAAGAGCATTATAACGGCATAATCGAGTAATCAAGATCAGTGTGTCTTGAGACGTGTTTTATACGGCTGTAGGATTAATTACTATTCCAGTAATTGGAATTGCATTGTGCTCAGTGATTATAATTGTATATATTGCACAAAACTATGAACAATTTACCATATGTTCTAAAATGTGAAGAGAAAGCCTGAAAGAGAGGAAATGCGGTGATGAGGAGGAGACCAGCTGTGAAATACAGCGTTGGAGCTTAGATCAGGATACAGGGTATGCCTCTGGAGGCTCAGAACTGCTTGGGCAGATGCTAGCAAGAAGATGAAGGGGGAGGTATGTGATTCTGGAAAGTAACTGGAAAAATCTGACAAAAATTGAAATTTGATTGCCTCTTATTGCTAGGTTGGTTCGTTCTTTGTACCGAAAATGAAGGCAGTGCTTTCCTCCGAAACTCTGGAAGAATTCTACGTACACATTACAAAGCGGCGCCTATCATAATTAGTATTCCTTACTCACCAGCGCGAATTAAACTTTCCAGTACGTAGAGAACTGTAGGACTAAAAACCGTTTGTGTGCATTGGGATGTCACGATGCGATATATGGGCCCTTCTTGAAAGCGATGGCCCGAAGTCTCCATCTCTAATGGAACCCGATAGGTCATCACCTGATCACAAGAGTCCCCCATTGGGTCCTATCTTGAACTAGTTGAAAGCAATCCATATCCTTAAACCATATTCTCCAAAAAAATATTTTCTATTACTCTCCTCCTATTTATTCTCAGCGTCTTCTAACTGGTATCTTCTCTTTTTTATGCTTCTGACTAAAAATTTGTATCAGTTTGTATCTCTTCCAGACACATTGCATGCCATGCCCATCTCATCTTTCTTCTTTCGGACTAAAATCACGGATTTTTTTTTTTTTTTTGCGTAGGCAGCGGCCTTGTGTCATGCTGATACTCAGTCCAAGGAGTCCTACCGACTGTGTATAGGATTAAGAATCTGAAAAAAGCAGCCAAGGTTCAACAAAGGGCAGTAGAGCCATACAAATAGATTCATTGTATATGAACGTATATGAACTTGTCACTATCTGAGTTTATGCCCTACTTCAACGCAGGGACGTCGTATCCAGTGACTTTGTTCCATATCTAGCGTGATTGTGTTGATTTTGCCAAGGCTGGATGTCGTGAATGGACGTTTGATTAATTAAATCGGTTATCTGAGAAAGAGAACGTGTCCGCCATTCAGCCACTGGACATTTTTTCTTTTGATCTGACCGATTCAATTGTTTTGCTAATATCCATGACCGATTTTTCCAAAACCATAAAATTCGCAAACCATTACAACAAGGGAAACAAAATAAATGCAAATATTGTCGTACTTCTGTTTATAATAGTCTCCAAAATCTTCTTGAAAACATCTTCTGCTATGACGAGTAACCATATTTATGACGTAAACAGTGATCCTTCTTCTCTTTCAGCATTCAACCGTGTACTTACATCATATTGCTGTCTTCTGGATTATGAAATCGTCTAGTCTGGTAGGTGGTTACCAACGTTTCGGAGGAAAATCCTGCGTTAATCTCACTCATACCTTGGAAGCAAAGTGTTGGTACTTACCTATGAGGCAAGACATGCTATAAGCCAAAGAACTACAGTACGAAACTTCATCCTCGTAAAAAGTTCATTAAATCCTTTTCACTTAGAACACTTCATTTATTTATATATTGTCACGTGTTTAATGACTAAACACAGTGTTTCGATTGATAATTGCGAGCCAGAAAGAAAATGCAGTTTGAGAGATGATATCACTAGGAATATTCAAAGAAATTGTTCCTCCTTATTTTCCGTGGGTGAATGTCAAGGCTAGGGGCCAACAGATGCACAGTAAGCTGTTGATGACATCATCATATCTAACTGGCCAAACACAAGAGTTTAACAAAATCGACACTTAATATTTTACAATTTTATTTATTTTAATCAGAATTAATGTGTCGAATAGTGTCACTGCCCGATGTACTGTTAGCGACATTCCTTTTTAAATATTCTTCAGTCGTTCTCCCGGATCTCCGTGTCCCTGCTGTCCCTTCCCGTATAGGAATCTTTTCTCTTTAAAACTTCTTTGACATTTTCTACTTGTGCGCCAGGTATAAACGACTTCGTCCGGGTGAGTTGAGTGAAGGTGCAGTGGCTTGCGCTTAAAGACGAAACTTACTTGTAACTGTATTGGAATATGGACTATACGTACGCTGATGTGGGTTGGCAGCTTGTTCTTGCTCTGCGGTCTCCTCTCGAGACGCGGTGTGGTTCCGGCGGTCAGTCTTGAGAAGGTGCCGGTTGGTGTTGTAGGCAAGAGTTCTCGATTGTTTAACTGGATTCAAATATTTGTTCGGATGTGCAGACGTGTGTGATTGTGGACTAGGATATTAAGAATTGTTCATTACTTCATACAACACCTGATAATGAAATGCTGTTTCTAATTACTAGTACCTTACTTTAATGTGCTTCAGAATACGAACTTGATTTTTTATATAAAGGTGAGTTTTCAACTTCTGTTAACTGTTACTAACACATGTTCTGCTGAATTGTTTACACAGATGGTAGTTAAGGATCCCATCACGATCATCAGGCAGAGGACCAAGGTTAAGGGTGTAATATTGGGCTCAAATTCTATCCGTTGCAATTGACTTCCTGAGGAACAAAGTTAAACATTTGTAAATGCAGTAGTTCCAATATAACCACGGTTTTATGCAGAAAACTTTTTCAAAGTGCATTGTCAGAAATTTCCATACTGTGAAACTAATATTCTACACTCAATTATGGTTGCATGGATAGGGTTTTCTAATTTAATTTCTTTCCGTAGCCATTATTTTTGTAATTTAGAACGAGATGCAGAACCCATACACATCAGACATTTCATTGGTATTCTAAACGTTCATTCACCCCTTTGACTGAAATATGAAAGTCGTGCAGCGCATAAAACAAAAAGAATAAAAAACTATATGACATGTGTCATAAATATAAACTTCTCAATAGTTAATGTACAGTTACACCCACCGCATACACATGAATAAATATTCTTTAATAAGGATGTGCAGGTTTCTTAGAATATTTATATTTCTGTATACTCTTCGAAAATGATATGAAAACAGTCGGTTTTGCAGAAATTATTTTATAACCTTCATATTATCGACCTGTATTAATAGACTGATATATTGGGTTTTTGGACTTTATCCATCGTCCTGGTTTTTAAGATAACTAATAAAAACACGAAGTTTCGGAAACTGGATCTGTTTCCGTCCTCAGGTGAAGGAAAACACCTATTCTGTTGGGTCCAGTGATTGAGGCTAGCTCTATCTAACGGACCCAACAGAATAGGTGTTTTCCTTCACCTGAACACGGAAACAGATACAGTTTCCGAAACGTCGTTCTTTTATTAGTTATCTTAAAAACCAGGACGATGGATAAAGTCCAAAAACCCAATATATCAGTGTGTTATACACCATCGTCAGAATCCTATAGTAACTACTTGTATTAATAGATTTGCGAGATGTTATTGGTCTGCTGATGACATGTTTCTGCTGCTTGTAGGCTTCCAAATTTATACAGACATATAAAATATAAATTTTTCACAGCTGACGGACTGCACTGTTCTTAATACAGTAGGCGGAAATAAGCATCTTATCGGATTCTTTCAGTTTCGCTGACAAAATTTTCCAGCAATATTAAATACGAACCTGTTAAGAAGTTGTTCTCATTTCATGAAATCCATTCTTTCCTTTTTGCCGAATTAACGCAATAAAATGACCTGTAAATAAACGAGAGGGGACAAAGAAGGAGACATTTAAAATAATGTAACAAAGGTTTGGGAATATTAAATTACAAATGCCTATTAAAATTGTCACGAATTTGTGATAGGACTGCAATTCCACTTTATCAGTCAGAAAATGAGTAATATTTTAGGAAGTGTAATGCTACAGAGTTCAGGAAACTAAACATGAATCGTGAGCCATGAATGGATATGAGCTGAGGCCACGAACGCATTGCTTCTGCCTTGCGAGACTGGTTCTATTAGAAACTGGGCTCACCTTAATGAAGACAACTGCTAGGCAACTTGGTGAGTGGCATAAATAGCATGAAACGAATGGTAATAACCTATTAACATTAAAAAGTCGAAGTAATTAGTGAATTACGTTCATGAAATAATGATTAAAGAGGAATTCGTAGTGTGTTTTGTACAAAAACCTGTCTGTGGCAACTTTTGCATCTTTAAAGCACATCAGGGCACAGGTTTTAAATTGCGTGTTTCTCGTTCAAGAAAGTTTCATCAAGTTCATTAGACATCCGATGTCCGATAGTGGGATGGCGCGGAGTGATGAATTTGGAAGGACAGGGTAGAAGCTCTTGTGACCTGCAGGGAGTAAGGACAATCACTTTTTCTTCTTGGAATAGTGGTCTTCGGGCAGAGTTACTAACACTGGACGTTCCTCCTTCCATATAGATGCCTACAGTTTTATTGTTACATTTTGTAAATACAGGCATAGAAGAAAATGGCCTTACGACCTATTTCCAACTCATAAACTCTGTAGAGTATAACAGTGCAATAATAGGCATGGCTGAATAATTATACTGGATAAACCGTCCGTGACGCATGGCAAATCATGGTTGACGAAAGGAAAACTATTTCGTGCTGCCTGGCTTGTAGATAGTTTGATCTGTTTCTTAGTAAAATCTACATGCAATTAGCAAAAAACTTATTTTTTTTCCTTGGCACTACAGCCCCAGTGGGCCTAGGCCTACGTCCATGAACTTCTCCGTTCACTTTTGGTTTTTCTAGATCTTATACATTCGGTAGGATTCCTTGGGCGGGTGATCAGCTCGTCGCAAAGCCTCTACCTGTACACAAACACAGAAAAACGCACACACACAAACTAAACATCCATGCCCTGAGTGGGATTCGAACCCACGATCCCGGTTTCCAAACGAGCGAAGACAGTACATGCCTTAGACCGCTCGGCTACCGTGACCGGCGCAAAAAACTTATACATAGCGCAAACTGAATCTCTACTGCTCCTTTCCGGTAAAGCAGAAGTTTATCTTCAGAATATTAGTGGCACATCACGATGTATGGAAGTTTGTCAGTATGACAGAAGGAACGACGGAGAACACAAAGGAGTCTGAAAGTTTCTGTCCTGATTTTTTCTCTTATTTGATGAAATTTAATCTGATGTCTGTGCTGCTATTACAATTCTCTTTCCATTGTTTCGTTCGTCTTACTACTCGCCGTGCTCATCTCATCTTTATTGTTTGCATCCTGCTGTGTATTATTATATAGTATGTATATTATGCAACCGTCAACACAACAAATTCGTAATATGATGTAAATAAACCAATATTACGTAATAAACAAGTATTAATACAGTAATTGGTTTATTTATTGCGAATTTGTTTTGTTGACTCTTGTATAATAATACTATATGCTTATCTCAGTTTGTTTATGTGGTCCTTCATCTCGTCTGTGTCATGATCTCAAGTATATTTTGAACTTCAGTCCTCTTATCTGTAGCCACAAACATTGCGTCCGATTTCTTTATTGACATTTCTTACATCTCGCACATAATCGCTCGATCAAAAAAAAGTTGACATTTTAATAGCTGTGTAAGATTTGAGGCTTTCACGGCGGTGACTATGAAGAAAGCAGTCTTCTGGGATTTGGCACCGTGGTCTGAAGACTGGTCTGCTTTTACCGGTTCTCACGGTCTCTTCGCTTGCGGATTTCTTATATTTTTCCTTCTACCCTGAAGATGGAGGCGATACGTTCCTCCGAAACGTCGGTTAACACCACATATACACGGTGCCAAATCCAAGAAGACTGCTTTCTTCATTTTAATAGCTGTCTGCAGATGTTCTAGACTGTTATATCTATCCTATATCTTTCAAAGACATTTTTTTCACAGTTGAGCATTTATATTTTCTTCCTAAATTGAATATTAAAATAAATAACATCTGATATTGTTCACGTATTTTCCTTTGCTTTGGAAACTCCCGCCTTAGAAATATTAAACTCTTTGCAACATCTCACTTTAGGGCCGCGCCATAGCTCAAGAGGTTAGTCGCTAGCTTCCCTCCGCGGCGGCCCGGGTTCGATCCCGGGTCTGGTCAAGTGGGATTTGTGGTAGACAGAGTGGCGTTAGGGAGGGGTTTCTCCGAGTACTTCGGTTTCCCTTGCCAATTTTCATTCCACTAAATTCGCCATCATCATAATCACCCTGGGCAGGTACAATAGGTCAATCAGTGGCCGCCGTGTCGAGTGGACCCAGTTGAAGTCCACCCCTCACTAAGCGAATTAAAAAAATCTCACTTTAATAATAAGAAACTACGTAGTTGAAAAATAAATATATATAACAACCGAAGCATTATTCATATAGAGTCACAGAAGCCCAGATGTATATATCAGAAAGTCAATCCCATTTTGTGAATCTTCTCAGGAGGCCTGCATCTATTTCTGCTTTCCAGCATGGGCCCTCATTATTTCTGAATTTATTGTATTCGCATATTCTTGATTCCCACAGAGCAAAAGGCGGAGAAAGTATCGTACTATTGCGTAATGTAATGTCACATTAAATTCCTAGTTACTCAATTCACTTCTGTTTCTCTTCTCACAGAAACACGCATAACTCTCCTATTCTATATACTTTGATACTAAGCAATGAATTCAGAGCAATTTTCTCCTTGTGGCAAACGACACTTAAGAATAATCTCTGACGCTGTGCGTTGTTGCATCTACAGAGCAAACTTCTTCATGACATGTTCAAGTTCTCAGTGTGTAAACACGAAGGACGAGGAGGAAGGCTGTAAGAAATCGCAAGGACCAAATTGCAAGAAAAGACGGCCTCTGCCCGGCCTTTATCCAATATGTAACGGGGGAGGTAAAAGGCTGGACAGTGAAATTAACTCTTATTGATTTAGTACCGGCTTTATGAATGACTGGATCTTTATCTCCATTCTTCCATACGTCTTCATAATTTGGTGCTAAGACACGTGGATAACTTGGCATATTTCACACTGGAGAACAGTTTTCCGTTTGTTCTGTGTCTATGTTTTCTGTAACCCAAAACCGATTTTTTTTTATCGATCAACTATGTACATTACATTGAACTCTTGAAAGTTTATGGTTTACGATTGCACGAAAGAATTTCATGGCAGACTAAGCTTGCTTGATTTACCCTTCGTAAATTTACATCTTTGTTTTTGTCGGTCAGTACACCTACTAAAAGCGGCAGATCATTTTAAATGCCAGTTATTTATCCGGGAGTTGCGCAAGTGGTCATATTGGCTTTGCCCAATCGCTGTTTTGTTAAAACCCCTTTGCCTGTTGCAATCCACCCGCATTCCACTATCTGCCGCCGTGTTAGCCTGTTTTACAGCCAGCACTAGATCTCAGCTACTGTACATATAATGTATTGTAGACGTATCCATTTTAAAATATTCGCTTGTGAAAGTATTTCAAAATTCTGAAAACACGTTTTATTTACCG